AAATAAACTGGACTTTCTTAGTTTTTTCTTGAAAATGTTTCGCTTCTCATCCAAGAACCTCCAGAACTGAAGAAGCTTCTTGGATGAGAAGCAAAACATTTTCAAGAAAAAACTAAGAAAGTCCAGTTTATTTGATTACAGAGAAATAAATGTGTCTTATGTTTTAGGATGGAGATAATGGCTCACTGTACAATGGTGTACGACCTTACACTGGCCCTCCACGTGTATCTTCATCTTTTAGGAGGGGCACTCAAAGTACTCACACACAATATCATAACATAGAACAGGTAAGTTGGCTTATTGAAGGAGGTATTTTCAAACATAACTCTTCCAGAAACAAATCTCATCTAAATGTATGTAACAACTGAATCACTGTAGTTAAAATGATTAGCATTGTTTTAGGAAAGATAATATTCAACAGAGTTACATGATCACAGAATAATGCATACATTCTCATATCTTCAGAATTCCTAAGCAGATAAGATAGTAAAAATTAGAAAATACTGTGAGAAAAAAGAGATTGATTCTATTGCTGTGGGATCTGTTAGGGCCTTAAATTAAATAGGATAGATTCAACTTGTGCTCTATTTGGTGCTCTTAAACTTCAAATTTTTGAGTCATATGACAGTTGTATAAGCATTTTGTGTATTGGAGTATCTAATTTGTTTATTTTGAAATACCGGTTACCATTCTTTGGAATTTTTATTAGTGAAAATAACTGAAATATACTGATTTTTTTTTAAAAAAAATCCTTCAGTTTTAAATAATATTTTGTATAGCGTGATTTTAGTTATCATTTTCAGAATCCTATTTTGAAACTCTGTCTGCCATAAAAAGTATCAAGCCTCTTATAAGCATGGTTAAGAGGAGCCATTATTTGAAAGACCCATTTATTATGATATTATATCTGGGTGAACAGGCAGAATGAAAATGGTCCACAACTTCCTTCTCTTAGATTACTCGATTTTGATACCAGAATTTAAAAATGGAAATGTTGCTACCTGCTTAGTTCTGAATCACAGCCAGCATGTTAGAATTGTATTTTGCCCTATAGTTCTGTTATTCTTACCTAGAAATACTTTCTCCTGTATAATAGGGCTTACTTTTAAATACAAATATATGATTTGTGATTAATGTTGCTAATTCCAGAATTAAGATATTCTGATTTTTTCTTCATTATTAAAACATATCAGATTTTGTTAATTAGTTTAAATAATGATTTATTTTTTTAAAAAAAGAATATTGTAATATGTATTTTCTTCCCTTTTTATTGTATAGGCAGCAAGGAGACATGACCTGAAGAAAATTGAGGTAAATAATTTAAGAAGTAAAATGAATCACATTTTAAAATAACAAATACGATTTTTTTTTGTAATGATGGTGATGATATGTGTATATTTGTTCTACTCTGTAACAAATCCTATTAGTAAAAATGTAACTTCATATTTTCAATTTTTTTTGCTTTAGATTTGCAGTTATATCTAGCATCTCTGCAAATCTGAACAATCTTGAGTTGGACAATTGATAAATATTTAAATGTTATGTTTGATTCCATTCAATTGATTATACCGTTATTACTGTTCTAATTATTTATTTGCAGCTTTCTTCAAAGGAGCAAAAAACAATACCAGAAAATCTGCCACTCCCAACAGACATATACAAGCTGAAATATCAGCAATATGAAACAGAAATGAAAGAGGGCTATAAGCAGTATTCTCAGAGAGCTGCAAAAAAGAAAATAAATAATAACCTGTTTCATGAACTTCCATGCAAGATAGCTGAAAAAAAGGTAACATTCATATATTACCCCAGCATAATAAAACTATCTAAAACACTGTATGGAGATTAGCTTCACTAAAGCAAATGTAGGGTGTAAGGTATAATAAGGACAATCTAAACAGTGAATAGATTTTTATTATGGATGAATGTAAGTGTTAAGTCCCCCCCATCCCCCCCCAATTCTGCTTTTTCCAACCTCTGCATATTCAACTACATTTTTTCCCTTTGATGCTCATTGTATTTCCCTCTTTGTTTTATAGTTCTATGTTCCATTTCTTTGCATTTTAATTTGTATATAGTTGCTTGGCTAATATGCTGTTTTCATTTTTGCCCTTAGTGATTTGTGAGTTTGCACTGATAAGGAGTTGGCTTGGTCTTCTAGAATGGTAACAGTTTCCCAGTTGAAACTATGGTTAAGTCTGTCCACATCTTATGAAATTAAAAGTTTTCAGCATCTCTTCTGACAGCTAATTGGTGTTCATGGATGCGTTCTGTCAGTCTTCTGCCTGTTTGTTTTACGTAGCGGTTGTTGCAGTTATTATACTATATATTGTAGATTATTATGTTTTTTCTTGAGGGGCTACTGGGTCTTTTGGTTTGCTTGGAATGTTTTGAAGGACTTTAGTTGTCTTGTGTGCTATGCTGATTCCATGTGGTTGTAGTAATTTCTGAGATATGTGAATATTCAGCAATTTCTTTAAGGTCAGAGATAACATTAACATGTTTTGCATAATGGGTTTCTATTTATTTTAGTAGAAACAGCTGCTGTATACAAGATTTATAAATGTCTCCGTTCTTTTTAATTCTTTTTAATTTCTCAAAAATTCAAGATATAGGATATATATATATATATATATATATATATATATATATATATATATA